CTCTGCAGGGGTTAGTCTGAGTTCAAAAGATAGCGCTCAGATTTGTTTTAAAGCAGAGTACAGAATAGAGATCGGCAGTCTTTGTCGTTCCTCTATCTAAATGCCCTTTTTACTCACCTAAAGCCAAAATCATGTGATGCTCCAGTGCAAAGTCTTCTCTTTGCAGAAGGCTGAGTCCTTCTATGGGTGTTCACGTCACTGCTTGCTTTATTTGGGCACTCCCTATTGGCAATCCACTGGCAGGGTCCAGAAGAGGAGTCTGCACCGTTGACGTGAATACAGACAGCCGAGGAGCAGCCTGTGCAGGCACATCTTCAATGATGCCATTAAAAAGTCATTATCAATTTGTTTCCAAAAAAAAACCTCAGCTTGGTGATCCCGCCATGAAGGTACTTATTCAGGCACTTCCTGTTAAAGGATGACAATGCTCTTTCCCTGTCTCCTAATTGTACCCCTACGTTGTCATCCTGTCACACATGCTTCCGATGGAGACTGCTAGTGGTTATTTCAATTCACATTGATCAGGCGGGATCCACTGGTTTCACCATTGGTAACCTACCCTGAGAAATGTCCTGTCTGTATGTAGGTAGACCGGCTGCAGGAGATCAGCAGCACTGAGATGTAATAATGGATGGAAAAAAAGGTGAAAACAGGATTTGTTTTTTTTTTAATTCTGAACAGGAAAGGAAGCTACCTCTGTGGAGCCCAATCAGCTGCTGGTGGGGTATTTCACCGCCCACAGTGTGACATAAGCAATGGGACGGGATGCAGTGATGTCATTGACTTTATACGGCTACATGCCTATATTTGGTAAATGACACATGTGGCCATATAAGGTAAATTCAGCACGAGCATCCTGCCCCCTTTGTTTACATACGGCTGCGGGGCAGGAAATGCCCGGCCTGCAGCTGATTGGGGGAAATGCCCGTGGCATTTCCTGGTTCAGAGGAGCTCATCCCTTATAAATTTATAAGCTTTTTTAGGAAGTAATATGACTGGTTCTGTGTTCTCTGTAAAATGCTTCCACTAATTTTTAGGAGTATATAACTGAACACTGTGATAATACATAAGCTTGCTGGAGTCATCTTGTGGCCCAACCAAGTACTGATGGGGTGGTCATAATAATCTGGCCACTCAGTGTATATGTTACTACAATTGGGTAAATGCAAGTCACCCAATTTCTACTAATGCTTGAAAAAAAACTTGTTTGAAATATTTACATTGCAATTCTCTGTGTATTTGGGGTCAGCCATAATTGCTCATTACATAAGCAGATCCATCTTCCTGCTTTGTATTGCTGTTCTACTGTTCCCGTCTCTCAGTGCAAGTCTGTGGGTCAACACAGAGACCTGTACTGAGCATGATACAGTTTCTCAGTGGATTATCCTCAATATCAAACCATCTTTTGTTGTGGACCTGATCAAGAATTCGGATATAAGGTTCCGTACTTATATCTGCCGCCTGGCCTGATTCAATACAGAGTGTACACTCAGACGAGTCTAATCATTCCGGTGCTTTGATTCAATACAGAGTCCTTTTAAGCAGGAGTGCCGGCTGCTCTGTGCTTCTAGGTAGGCCTCCATCAGAGGAAGGACGATGTCTCATGCACAACAAGGTCCACTCGCTATTACAGAAACAAGATATAATGCGACTACTCACCACCTGGACTTGGCCATCTTCCCCGATCTGGTGGATCTGCACCTGCTGGGCATTCGCCAGGGCATAATGCAGCGCCTGAGGCGGCGTTTGCTGCAGGTCACTGGAAGACGAAACTGTATTTTGTACACCATCTGGAAGAGAAACAAGCAAATGCACATAATGTAATTGTGAGTTCTAAACGGACTGTGCCCATCCCCGCCGCATAAAATGTCATTTCAGATTTAGTTTTAGACTTTGTGTATTTAGTTGTGAAAACGTCGCCTATGATCAGATATTGTTCACGATATTGTGGACCTTGGACTCTGTATATTTGACTCTTCAAAAGACCTTCTGCTTTCCTGCTCCCTCATCAACTCCTCCCATACTCGCCTCCAGGACTTCACTAGAGTCTCTCCCATCCTCTTGAACTCTCTACCTCAACCTGTCCGTCTATCTCCCACCTGGACTGCCTTTAGGCGATCCCTTAAGACTCATCTCTTCAGGGAAGCCTATCCCACCTCAACCTAACCGCTCAACCATCACATTCTTATACAATTCATCCCCCACACAGCTACCTCCTCATGTATCACTGGCCCCTCCCTTTAGATTGTAAGCCCTCAGGGGCGGGGCCCTCCTTACCATCTTGTCTTGAATTGTATTGTGATTGTATTGTCTTCCTTATATTGTAAAGCGATGCGCAAACTGTTGGCGCTATATAAATCCTGTGTAATAATGATAATATTTGGAAGGTTGATCTGGCGTGGATGCAATTGTGCTGAGTTATATCTATTGGGGATTTTTAATTTTGGGGCATTTTAAGAATTTCTGATCAACAGGTATTTCCCTTTGCTTGCAGCATTTGTAAAGAGACAAACATGGGGAATTGTGTATGTATTGCAGAGACATACTGAATAGGTTTTGGGTGTTTATTTTTGTAATTTGCCATGACATGCACTTTAAGATACCACTGACCATTTCTAGCAACGATGGGCAGATAAAAGGCACCCACCCAAATCTAAGCCAATGCAACAAACTTTAAAGGAGAACTATGGGGTCAGTGTTTTTCCCCATAGTTCTCCTTAGGGTAACGGGAGGACACAAACTAGCGTCCTCCCGTTACCCTAAGCTCAGTATACCGCGAGCTACAGCTCGCGGTATACTGAGACGCCGCCGCCGGAGCGGATCACGACTTAGCTGACGGGATCCGCCCTGCTGCGTGAGTGACAGCTGGCTCTGCCTATCTAGAGGCAGAGCCAGCTGTACCCGCCCCCTCCCCCGTCCGTTCCGCCAGTCAGCGCTGGCAGATCGGAGCGGGAGAGGGGAATCCAGCCCCTCCCCCTGCCACGGCAGAGAGCCGTGACAGGATCGAGAGGCGAGCGAACCTGGTATGTGTTCGCTCACCTCCCGATCTACTGAGCCGACCTGTGACAGTCTCATTGTCACAGGTCGGCTAGAACTATGAGGTGAGTGAAAATCACTCATCTCATAGTTCTCCTTTAAGCTTTTAAAATGAGAATGTATGTTGGAGTTTATACTATTTTTCTTTCTTCGGGAGTTACATCGCTGTGCCTGCGGGGCTTCCCACTTGCCATTCCAATTCAATGTTATTTCATCTCTGACAACACTGCACAGGACAGGCAGGTATTACACCCATTCAGGAAATGGCTTGAGGTGGGCAGCATATAGAGGTGATTCATTGTCAGCTGCTGGTAACTGCGGTGACAGACCATCCTTTTTGAGCGTGGGGTTAGGAGTGCCTAGTAAGAATGGTCAGGTAGCTCCATGATTGGAAAAATGTTTAACGATTAACAAAAAACAACGGCTTCCGGGGGAAACAACTTTCTCCTTCTTCAGGGTTTGAATCGTGAAGAAGGGTGAGGCTGTTTCTTCTGAAATGTGTTGGCTATTCTTAATCGACAAACATTTGATAGCAATTATTGAGCTACGTCACCACTCTTAATAGGCACTCCTAACTAGGGATGCACCGTTACCGGTTTTTCGGTATCGAGTACCGATATTTTTTCCGGTACTTACCGATACCGGAAGTCCCATTAAGGAAGCTAGGTAGCATGTAATGACATAGCGCCCGGCTTCCTGATTGGCCGGGAAGCCGGCTCTGTGCTCCCTCATCACGAGGTGACGAGGCCGACTTCCCAGCCAATCAGAAAGCCGGGTTCTGCATCATTACACAACACCCGGCTTCCTGATTGGCCAGCTTCCCGGCTAACCAGAAAGCCGGGCAGCGTGTAATGACTCACTGCCCGGGCTTCATGGTTCTGGAAGTTCAAGTATCGGGCTAGGTATCGGAGCATTTGTGCATGTATGAGTACTCGCCCAAATACTCGGCATCGGGACTGATACTAGTATCGGTATCGGTGCATCCCTACTGCTAACCCAATTCTCAGAACTGATTATCTGATTATGAATGGTGCGCTCACCACAAACAAAAGAGGTATTAAAGGAAATAATGAGGCCACCAGCACACCAATGTCCACTTCATCAATCCGTCTTTTATTGATGTTTAAATAAACAGGGTGTCACAAGCAAATGCAACATTTCAGAACCACATGCCGTCCCCTTCATCGGGCAAAACAATGTCACCTCTTGCCTGATGAAGGGACCGCATGTGGTTCTGAAACGTTGCATTTGCTTGTGACACCCTGTTTATTTAAAAGTCAACCAAAGACGGATTGATGAAGTGGACCTTTGTGTGCCGGTGACATCATTATCTCCTTTAGTCCTACAGCGCCACCCGTTGGCCATTTCAGCACCCATTCAAGCTGCACATTAGGAAATGTCAGTGTGGAACGTGATGGGATATCGCTGAAGCAGCCTAATACTTTAAATGTGTCTTCCTACTGTGGTATTGTGTGGCAATCCCACTGTAGAATTGGATGTGATGATCACCTGGGACTTTCAGCCAGATGGGCTGAGACGTTTCAGGAAGCAAGGGATTGTCTGGATTCTGCTTGGGATCCTGGAACTGGGAGGTTTCAAGGTGATTCTGGAGGAAAGATGAGATCCCTAGTCCTGGGTCCAGGCTTTAGCAGTGGCCAGCACTCGATAATTGCACAGGTGTGCACAGCCATTAAGAAAAGGATGCTGGCTAGGGGGAATTAGCTCCTGCTGGGAAAGAGGAACAGACCGTGTTCAGGTGTCAGGAGAACACCCCCAGAAGTCAGAGAGGAGTCAGGTAGCGAGTGTGCTGGAGGCACACTAGGACAGCCAGGGAGGCTGGGAGAGAACTGGTGAGGCAAGAAGAGCCGTGAGCCTGAGGGGGCCACCAGTATCAGCGTGGGTCAGCACTTCAAAGAGGACCAGTGGGTCAGAAGTGCTACTGTTTAAAGTGGAAGCCAGGAGGCGGCTATTGTGTTGTTTTGAAGCCTTGCAAGAATGTTATGTTGAACAACCCCTGCGAGGGTATCCAAGATGGATATATGGACTTTGTTTTGAATAAAAGTGGGCTACCGAGCCCTTAAACCGAAGATATTGCGAGTAGACTGCATTCTTAAGCGCTCACCGTATGTGCTAATATCCCCAAACATCACACTACATTGTACTGTGCTTCCCAGAGCTAAGTAGGCCTGAGCCAGATACTAGAGGTTAGCTGCGCAAAGTTCCACTTCCTCCCGGCACCCTGGAGACAGTGAACATTGAGGACAACAGCTTAAGAAACTGCAGATCTCCCCAATAACTGTCTGCCAGCTGTGAGTACAGATGTGCACAGCTGTGGAATGAATGGCAAATGTATGGTTTTATTTACAGTCAACACAATAACCTCTAAGAAAAGCATTTTTAATGTCTCTTCAATAAAGGGGATGCGTCACAACTGGGGATAGCTGTTCCCGGAAGCGGATCTATTGGCAGCAGTCATATTCCCAACAACCAGACCGCATAGAGGTGAAGAGTGACCTGACAGAAGATAAATAATGGGGAAGCCAGTAACAGCCTCTTCTGAAAATGTTGATTGTTTATTACACGGAACTCATTTCTGCTGGTTCCTGATGAACCGACCAAAATTTGCACAGCGGGTGCCGCTGTCAGCAGCCTTTCCGACCAGCATCCCTCAATCAGCAGAGCGAAGGAGCGGGTTGGAAATTCTCAGCCAAAAGGAACTTGCAGCCAGTGAGCTCAACCGTTCGGGTATTCTGCCGGCGGCCACTGTCGGAATCTAATAGAAACAGCGGGGGGATTCCTTGAATCAGACTTCCTTATCTGCATGCTTGTTCCAAGACAGTTGCTCAAAGCATTACAGTACAATTAAACCTTCAGGGGTTTTTTGCATATATCCAGTGCTAGCAAGCAGAAGATTGATACAAAAACATTAAAAAAATAAAAAAAAGTTACCAAACAGGTCAAAACTAACCTGTGTCTTTGCCGCGCGCTCCCGTCTGAAGATTCTAGAGCGGCCGTGAAGGATCATGGGGCGGGCGCATGCGCAGTACAGATCTTCGGCCAGGAGATGAGGAAGGACGCAAGGTAAGGCAATGCACGCGGCCAGCAGCGTGCACACGGACAGACACGTGGGAAACAAGGAGTCTTTCTCTGGCTGTGAGAATCTTGCAATGCCTCATGGGATTTGTAGTTCCACCACAGCTGGAGGGCCGGAGTTTGGCTACCCCTGATTTAAAGAGTATGTCTAAGCATTACCCAAAGTTTTAACCTAAAGCTTTTCTTATGATGTCATCACCAGGCATCTGAAATCCTGGGACCTCAGTTACATACTAGTGACACAGGCATGCTCCCAGAACTACATCTCCCATGATCCCTTTCTCTACACTCAGTGTTTGGGTTTTGCTGTATACAAAATTCAATATATGCATGTGGAGAGGGACAGAGAGGGGTGGGAATAGGCTGAGTTCTGTAGTCCAGCAGGCAGAGCTGACATTGCTGCTTGAGATTTCAGTGCAGCAGGGGCTCTGTGTTATTAATCCAAAACAGGAAATTAGAAGCACATTGGATTTCTGGCAGATCCACAGGTGTTTGTTTGAACTAGAAATGTTTGGGATAAAGAATGGAAAATGTGCACGTATTGAAGAGATCTAATGGATATGTTTTTTTAAAGGAGAACTATGGGGTCAGTGTTTTTCCCCATAGTTCTGCTAAGGGTCACGGGAGGACACAAACTAGCATCCTCCCGTCATCCGAAGCT